AACCCGGCCCACTCAGCCTGGGCTGACTCAACCCGGGCCCACTCAGCCCGGGCTGACTTAACCCGGGTCCACTCAGCCCGGGCTGACTCAACCTGGGGCCACTCAGCCCGGGCTGACTCAACCCGGGCCCATTCAGCCCGGGCTGACTCTAGTGAAATTTTTTCACTGCAGCTGCAAATTCCGGCCAAATCTAAAGAAATATCAAAATATTCAAAACAAAGTAACTCGCGACCGAACGGTCCAAACAACATGATTTTTTCATTAGATGAAGATTTCAATTCTGAAGTCCATTTTTGAGAAAGATCGAATGAATTGTGGGACGTTTTCCCTTGTGTTTTGGACGATCATGATCATAAAGCGTGAGACATCCACCAATGTCGAAAACACAATGAATCTCTTCTCAGCCCGTGTTGGACGGCATCAATGATATATCTGAAGAGAGAAAGTATAATAAGAGCGTGGGTATCTTAGATCCTGTAATTCAGCAATTCTTACTTAGATCTGACTCATTGATTTTGCCAAAAGTTGTTAAGCTAGGACAGAATGATTGTTGCAAACACTTTTTAAGTAGGGAAGGGAGGCCGTGGAGAGCTGTGTTGAAAGCATGAAAATTTTAGAAATTTTTGCAAATTTTCCAGAAATTGGAATTGTCAAGTTTCAATTTTTCCAAAAAATCGCGACAAATTAACAAAGTGGGCTAAAAACCCCTTCCGTCTGCCGTCCCAGCCACAATATCTTAATAGTGCCCATTTGTTTTGGCTTATCTATCTAGGGTCGCCAAGAGCGAGTCCGGGCCCCAGCACAACCATGCGTGTTGTCCCCTTGCTTGACAACAAGTATAGATTCCAGAATATGACAACTAATAGAGTTTCATATTACCGGGCCTCAGAATGGGCCCGGGCCTCGGGACACTTGCCCCGGCTACTCCCTCTGTCGGCGGTCCAGGGCGTACTTGTTTCGCCAGCTCTAAAGAAACTTGGCCTACTGAACAACTGAACCACTTTTTGGCGAGTTGAAAGGAAAGTTGGGCAGACATATGCTCTTATTACTGATATTGTGTTTAGGTTTTAGATGCTCAGCTGGGCCGTTAATTGTAAATATTTCATTTGCATTTCTTCATTTTATCAATATTTATACACGGCACACCTTTCAGCTATTAATTACTAATTAACCTAATAATAATATTTGTTAAGTTATGATAACAAAGATCGCTGCTCTACCAAGGGGTCGTGTTTGGGTCCTGTAAAAGGTTCAAAAGATACTCTGTAAAACTTGTTCTAAAACGAGCGATTGATTCTTTTTCTCGATTGTTACCAGGGATTTTATTTCAGTTTTAGACACCAGAGAAGTAGAAATTTTGCTTTGCATATTCTCCACCTAATAGTTGGAATTTGAAGATCTCAACGATTGCTGGTTCCATACTCCGAGATCATGGATCTTTTTGTGAATTTATGGCGACGATTTTCGGGACAGAGGTCATATAAGATTTTATCTGTCATGACACCTTGGACAAAGGAGATCAAATACTTCACAGTCAGCCATTTACAAGTCCACCCGTCCTTAAACTTGGCATTCACTATTAGCTTTTTTGCCCTTGTCTGTTATCGTTGCAGTTGGGGTAGTTTGGTGTTGGAGAGAGCACTCCAAACAATGTTGCCATGGTGGCGATGGCTTTCATAGAGAGCTTTGTAGACTTGATCAAGTTTCCTTTGCGGATGGATGTTTTTCAAGATCTGGCAAATCATTACCTATTTTGTTTAGTTGTCGCCTATGGCCTATAACCATAGATTCGCTTTTGCTGGTATTCAGACTAAGTTTGTTAATCCTCATCCAATTCGATATATTTTCCAGCTCGTTGTTCAAATCTGTTAGATTTTCATTCAGATTTTCTGATGCGATATTCACACATATATCATCAGCATAGAAACTTGGGATCGTGCTCTCTAGACAATTCTGAAAATCATAAATGTATAGTATTTAAAGCAAGGGAACCAAACACGAGCACTGCGGAAAACCACACTCAATGCTGCTTCTGCTAGAAGTGGATCCATCAAAATAACAGAACTGCTCCCTATTGGTCAGATAAGACGTGAAACAGCTGTGGGAAGTACCCTCGGCACCATATTCAAGTAACTTCGACAATAGAATTTTATGGTCGACGGTATCGAATGCTTTTCTGAGTTCAAGGAATATATTCAAGTTTATTTTCCCCTCGTCAGAGTTCTCGAACCAGGGGTTTATAACATTCAATAGACATGTCACTGCCCTGTGCAGTTTTTGGAACGCAAACTGGTTCAAACAAAGCCTGTTGTGCTTCTTTAGATATTCCATTAGTTGATCGTGTACAGTCTTTTCTAGCTTTCTCGACACAACTTACAGCACTGAGATAGGCTGGTAATTGCTTACATCTGTTCCCATGCCCATCTTATAAATAGCTGTTACTCTCGCTAGTTTCCAGATCTGGGGGAAAATATCCCTTTCTAAGGATGCATTGTCTATCAGTGTCAGTGGTTTCGACTGAGTTTATGGCATCTTTCAGAGTTTTGACAGGGATTCTATCAGCACCAGGAGACTTCGAGGCACTCAGACCACTCATAGCACGTTCTAGCTACATACCCTACGCTTACTGGCTGTAGCTTGAATTCGGTTCCTCTGGTTTTATTTCTAAGTTACTTAAGGTTACGGTAAACGTTTTGGACACGATATTTGGTTTTCTCTCCCTAAAAGCCAAATTATTAACGGAATCGGCAAATTTCCAGGCAAATTTATTGCTTAAAAAAGTGTACCACCTTCAAAAGCTATTTTGTACCCTTGCATTTGTGGTAACAAAATCTGACTTAGACCAGCAGGAAGTGCAGTTCCCAAGCTACCAAAGTTTGACTACCAATTTTTCAAATTTTACCTCTCCTTGAATCTATACCTTGTCAAAAATTGGCAAACAATTTTTCTGCACTCCCACAGTTGTATTTGGATGTAAAAGACGGGCCAGAACAAATACAAAAATTTGGAGACATGCTTTGGTTACCCGACATCTGTCCCGGCCGTGTGAAAATTTTTGAGCCATTCGATTGGTTTCTTGGGTACAAAATAGCTTTTTCGTACCTGTATATAGATAGAGAGATTGTGAGTCCTGAGGAAACGGGATTTTACTGATCGCACTTGCAAGGTACACTCGTGAACCACAGTGTCAAGTCACTTGAAGCTTTTTTTAATAAGCCGGTTTAGATAAACACAGCCGTACATGAGATACATGGATGTGCCATGCGATGTTGTAAATGAGACATGCGACCACAACCGCAAGGCAACGATAATCGGCTTAACAGGTCAAGAGATTTTCAGGCCTCAAATAAAAACTTTGATAAAGAAATTATGGAAACCTTCGTTTACAGAGGTTTTTCGCAATTTTCAAAACTTCTGTTAGTTTCAAACATGGTATCGTTGTGTCCGTAAAATGTCCGGCTACTAGAATCTGAAGAAATCGAAAAATGGTTTACCGTAACCTTAAGAGGGTCATCGGAAGGCTGACGTACAATTTTCTCCGCTGACTTAGGTCCAACCGTTATAAAATGTTTGTTGAATGCTTCTGAAATTAATTTTTGAGGGTGATTTCAGTTTTGTGCCTTCAAAAGTGATGGCTTGAGTAACAGTGTGATTTGAGTTCCTATGTAAAACCTTATTTATTGTTTTCTGCATAGCTTTAGGATTGTAAACCTCCTAACAGTATATTTGCAGCAGGTTTAAGTTCTTGGCTGACCTCACCGATTGTATGAATTGGTTGATTAAAAAATGCTGACCCGTTTACTGAACTTGACGAAGTTATGAAAAACATTTTGAAAAAAGCAAAAGTCGAATGGCAGGAAGCACCAGCTATTTTCGTATATTTTTAGAGTTGTTTGGCTTTTGAAATAAAATAATACTTGTACTTTTAAAAAAGACAACCTTAAAATGTAATATAATTTTGACAACAATAATTTCTTCAGTGTCGCCCTTATAGAACTTGTTGAAAATTTCTATTGTAAATTGCAAACTCCATTAGCTATTGACTTGCTTGGCATTACGATTTTGCCTGTTTTGCTTACTGTTATTGTGACTTTTTAAATCCCACAAGGCTTGTCTCTGAGCCTTGTTATTGCTTATAGGCTGCAATGTTAACTGGCTAAAATCCTTGAACGGACCTCCTCGTATGAATTCTCTCGAATTAGCCCTCATATAAAAACTGCTTACATTAATCAGCCCCTAAATGGCTTGTTCGGGGGTGTATGGTATTTCTAATTCAGCAGTTTTTCATGAAGACAATTCATTACTCTTTCAAATTTTTCTTAAAATTTCATGATTTTTTAAAGCAAGACTCAAGCAGCATGTTTTCAACTGATATCTTCATGGTATAAAATGGCTAATAAATAAGCAAATAGATGCAGGGCTGAAAATGTAAAGCGGAAGGAGGTATGGGAGTTCAATCCTAGCATTGTTAACGTCTTACAAAAGATGTCGCTATTCACAATGAATCGGATAATCAAGTGACTTTACACACAGTATATTTCGATCGTCACCAACCCCAACGATTTTGTAAATTTTGTGTTATCTGCTTTTATTTGACTGGGGGAGGCATACAAATGGCCTTTGTTAAGTTGTTTCAGTTGTTTTTAATGAAAAAGAAATTAAATAATTTTGCACACAAATATTTCTTGATCATTTCCATCGGATTTATCACGTAGAACATATTTCACTAGGTTGAAACGAACTTACTTTATGGTGTAGTCTTCGTAACACAACTTTTAGATTTTGAAATTTGAATTTGGTTTCATTTTATTTCAAAATTATTTATTAACGAATACCCCTTCAGCTAATTTTTATCATTAAAATAAAGTTTGCAAATCTAAATAGCGATGAAAATAATTCGATGCTGCTATTTGATGTAATTAACAAGAATTAGAAACAAATATATTGCTTTAAAAAGGGTATGAAGAAGGTAGAGGCACGCATTCAGCAAAACAACACAATTATATACCTTTTGGATATCTTTTCTCGGAAATCAACTGAATTCATACAATCGGCATCAAGATTTTATTAAACAAGCTTTCAAAAGTCAATATATATTGTGCTGACATTCAAAAACCTGCAAAACCCTTCTCTCGTCTCTCCCCGTCTTCTAAGTCGGCATCTTTATGTATCTGATGGTACTGTGCTACGTATTTTCGTTCAGCGCAGTGCTTTTGACACATGCTGCAAATTGTTTGCTTGGTTACTGCAGCTCTTCTTTCCTGAAAGCAAAATACTTTTATGACGTATTGATGAAGCACTTATTTTTATTCTATGTTGTAAAAATGACCTATTGAAAAGCATCGTCTATTGAAAAACCAACTCTCCACAGTGAAAAAGAGGCATTTTTCAAATGAATTCGAATCTAAAAACCTCCAGTTTTGTTCTTTAACTAGTTATTATTAATTTACGAAGAATTGATTTTGAATAAAGATCATTTAAAAGCCAAGAATTGATTGCACACAAGTTGGAGTTTTTGAAGCAAAATCTAGGCTAATTTGAAATAATCCTAATTCTTAATAGACGATGCAATGATGAGACTCCTGGGTGAGAAGCATCTTGTGAGGTTCATTCAATATAAACGCTTTGACATTACAAATAAGCAAATACGTAAGTAAACTCTTTTTTATTTGAAAAATCGTCAATAAAATTTGCGTTCTTATATAAAGATTTGTAATTTTCTAGCTGCGTATAAATGCCTTTTGCAAATTACTTTCAGTTCCTGAATTTTCGTGGAGAGAAAATGCGTGGAAATTTGTTAGGAGAGAAAATTTAAATTTTTCAAATAAAGCTTTTTTAACAGTTGTTCTATAGTGATGTCTTGTTTGTGACCTATATCAACATCAACTGACTATAAGGTCATCAAACCAAACTAGATTAATTTTTTTGTCACCGGCGACTGCAATGCCATCAAAATGTCAATTTGCTTTGGAATTTTAAAGCATTGGAGTTTTTGAAAAATAGATGAAGATATATGACAACAAATATGACAAAACACGTGTTGAGAGGACTTCAATATAAGAGCGACCAAACTTGAAGGTTTTTTCTTTTCTTATTTATCAAACTATATGCCTATGGCTCATGACAAGTCCAGAAACCATAAAAGATATTTAATAGGCAAAAGCAAATTATAATAGGTATAATTCTGAAAAGGTTGCAGCTAGCAGAATGTCTGCGAACATCATCAAAACTGACCTAAAATACTGAATATTCTTGAATGAAGGTATACATTATGATCCTGATCTTATATTATGATGAATGAAAGCATAAAATATGATTCATACACTTACTGCCTGAAATGATCTTTTTCCTTGCCACATATTAGTCTGTGATGAGAAGGCATTTGTCGATGAAACTAAAAGACCTAGAGCCAAGATGAAAACCACTGCCAAATGAGTTAGCATCTGTTTTGCCATTTTGATATCAAGTGCGTTTCGTGTAGTGACGTTTATGAGTTGACTTGACTGCTCCGCTTGTCGTCTATCCCACAGACAGCAGAGACCTCTCCATAAATACCCAGTTGCTCATTATTAATTTATGCGCACGTTGTAACTTGAATTCCTTTCAAACTTCACGAGAGCATTCAGAACACGTTTAAGCAATTAACTGGGCAAATTTCCGTATTTTTCTCATGAGTGAGCTACGGATGCACTTTCCGGGGGGTAATATGCAGAAAGTGTAGGGTTCCAGAGTCTTTGATTTGGCCATTGATATGCTCTTCGATGTTTGCTGCTTAAAAAGTGTTTAATACGGCAACAATTTGAAGCACTTTCTTTCATGAAATATGGTAAAAAGCATTTAATCGATGAAATTGAATGCATTTATTGCTTTACCTTCCCTCTTTTTTATTAGTTTGCTGAAGATAAACCTTCTTGGCTCTTTGGATAATTCTTTTCCTCTTGATTCTGACATCCTTTGTCATTGGTCCCTTTATTCCAAAATTCAGACTCGATTGAGCGGTTCTCTACACTATCGATTAATGCTTATATCAGAACTTGAAATCATTTAGAAATTGTTCTTTAGCAAAGTTTTAAGTTTTATCACAATCAATTTCAACTCGATGAGAGTTGCGAATAATGATTGATTTTACAGATAAATCCTTTTCATCCAGATATGAACAAAGACTGTCAAGATTAATTCTCTCATCATAAAACCTACGTTATAATGAACTTGTTCAACAGAGTAGCGTTAATCTGCTTGTATTAAGTCAATGCGCTGAAAACCAAATGCTGAACTGTGTTGTAAACTGGTCAGAATGCCAACATACGCAGCAAGTCTTTGCTTATGAGTGAGGTTGTTCGATGTTTTTTATATGTCGCAAAATCACATCAACAATCAAAACAAAAAAGATGACTTTGACATTGCACGGCAAATACAGGGGAAAACTGAATACAAGCAACAACTTTTGTTGATTAAAAATGTCAAATGAGAAACTTTTAGCCTTTGTCATCTCATCTTAGCTCAGCTCATCTCAGCTCATCTCATCTCATTTCATCTCATTTTATCTCATCTCATTTCATCTCATCTCATTGTGGAAATCTGCATAATCTTTCAAGCTTGACCTAGATTCAAGGTGGTAAGGCCATTATATAAATATCTTCCTACTAATGTAGCTTATAGATTTAGAAAAATAAATTTACAAAATATATCCTATTTTTTGAAAGTATCATAGTTTGCAACGATGCTTCAGTGACATCCAGAACATACTATCCAGATTTGCTTCTAAGAGCAGGAGTCACCACTATAAATATAATCGTACTAAATAATCCTGTATTAAAAATCAGAGAAAAACTTTCTAATTATTGCAATATTTTGAACATTCATTTCAACAAACAAACAGAAAAATATTTTAGCAGAAGTTATAGATAACTAAGAAAGAGAATGTAACATCGCCAAAACTGATATTTTTCAAAGTTGAATTAGATAAAAGCTTTTAATCACAAGCGTGTCATATAGAATTGATAATCAATGAACTTGTGCGTGTTGTACGTCGAAAATGAACAAAATTTTATAAAATGAAATAACGACTTTGTACAAGAAATGAATATTTGGTACAACGTTTCAAGCTTGACTCTTCATGAGGTCATATAGAAATCCATTTCCGTTCTGGTTCTGGATGTTCTCACGAGAATTGCTGTCTGGAAATCTTTTCCTTCGCACCACACAATGTTTTAATTACTCCCCAAACAGGCGTTTGGTGGGCACACACTGCTTAAAGCGCTAAGATTTTGATTGTCAACCTAAATAGCATTGAGTTTTAAAACTAAGAATGATTAACAGAAGCTAATTAACAAAAGTAAATTTATAGCTCTAATGATATAGTTTACGTCATATAGTTATTTTGCCAGAAACCCCGTATTTCTGCACCCTGATTTGAGTTTACAAAAATCTCCCGAACTTTCCAAAAGTATTGAAAAATCATCAGAGCAGATAGATTTTTATTCAGGTGAGACTACGGCTCTGTCCTTTTACTTAGTGTTGATTTAAAGAAGAGGACTAAAATAGTGTGCCGACGGTTTTGCAGGACAGGTTTATACAAGCACAAAATTTTTAAGTTTCTGGATAAGTTTTTGCTAGAGTTCACAAACTGATTTGCTAGAATAACACAGAAGAGAATATGTTAAAAAGAACTAAACATTAAGTCATTAGCTATCTCTTTTGTCTTCGATTAACGCATTTTCTGCGATAGTGAAGCCAAAAAGAATGTATCTACCTAGATGACTTGATAAATCATTGATAGAAAGACTATAGTTGCATATAAATTCCTGCTTGAAGGTAACATCGATTTTCAAACCTGTAGATTACCGCATGTCTCCGTGAAAGAAAGAATCTATAAGCAAAAGAATTGGAGAAGTAGAAGAAATAGAAGTGGCAGAATGTATGCATGATTAGAAAATGCTTATGTGTCCTTTCAAAACAGCTCATGTTTGCTTTTGATATTACTTTTGAATTTTCTTTTGTTAATCTTAGACTCAATTTTAAGATCGTAAAGGCTAGAGCTACAGTCCATTTTAAGCATAGAAGTTCTCAACAGCCATGCCTGCATTGAAGTTTTTGACTAAAAAAAAACTAAACCGATGAAATTTTCTCTTCTTGCGATTCCCACTTAAATCTTTGGTGAAAATTTGGTCACCAACAACCTTTCCTGTACAAGATTTAGAATACTTCGATGCTCGTCCTGTTCTTCTCGACAAAGAAATGATGCACTTTGAAGTATAGGTTAATTCTATCACCAAAATGCATTTTAATGTCCTTTCGCAAACTGGCCACAGGCAGGTGTTTTATCACAGCCTTAACAGAGGCTAATTGAAGCAACATAAGATATGAGAAACTCAAAGATCTTTACAACAGAGGAAATAGATTTTTCCATTATTGTAATTCAAATGACCTTGTATGTAAAAAGCAATTATATAGTTGTTTACTTATTAATCATTTGCTTAGAAACATGCATGTTATATTTGAATCATGTTAAAATCAGAAGCTGAAGTTAGGAATCTCTGGTTGATCAGAATGATAAAGGTTGAAATAAGAATGGGAAAATGAGAAACATTGGATTAATAGATAATTTTCAAAAAGCCTATCAATCAGGCACACCCTCATAATAAACAATTAAAATGTCATTGCAATGGATGAGCTTTTCTTAAAAAAAGCTTATTGATTGAAAATGATGATCTGTAGCCATTTAATACAGACTGAGGCATTCTAACGCCTTCTCGCTGAGAATGAATAATACTATTACAGACAAATAGCTCAAAGGTGATCTCATCTGATTTTTCCTTCTACATCATCAGCGTCATGACCTTCTTATTTGGCAAAGCATCAGTTTTTGAGATTCGTGTCTTCACTGCAAAAATAGCAAGTTTGATAGTGCCAAACTCATTTCCGAAATTACAGGGTACTTCAACTGATGATGCGCTTTGTTCGTATCTGATGATGCTCTCCTCCCCTTCTTGCTACAGCAATGACTTGATTCCTGCCTCCTGTTGTGTTATCCTTCTAACAGTTAACTTGGTTTACAAAAAAACTTGAAATTTTCAACCTTTTTTTAATTACAAACAAACTTGAAGTTTCAAATTGAAGAGATAATTTTTAAATGAGAATAATTTGTCATTTTTAGATGTTATCTCTAATCTTCACTCTCTATTTCAATAATTCCTATTGAAATTTTTGAATTTAGGACAGATTGTGAGAAATTGGCTCATAGCAAATGTATCTATTGACATCTAGAGCCTAATCGACATGGATTTCAATTTGTCTGTCAATGTACCATATTTGGCCTGTTATCTTAAGCATTGAAGACAGATTTGAGGCTTGTCGGACGCACGGATATCTTAACAAACCTTTTTATCTTAAAAATAAAAGGCTTCTTCTGTTTTTGGTCATCGTAAGTTTGGTACGTAACATAAAATATTTTAAAATTGACAGCCTTTAGCCCCTAATTATTGATTAAAGGTGATGCAGAAATTATAAATGTCTCTAATTGTCTCATTTGTACTAGATTGCATGCTCCGATTCCAATTGCTGACAAAATGTGTGAGCTATACTTTGTTTTCCAACAAATCTGAAAATTTAAAAACCCCTATGTAGTGAAAACTACTCGATTTTACAATAACATATTTTCCAACGGGGTGTCGCATTCCCCAAACCCCAATCCCCTCCCAGGGACTTCCCTGACGTGGGCAATTCACTCTGGCATAGTGTGATCTCTACCACGAGAATACTACCAAATCGAGAGGGTTTCTATGAAGTATCTAAAAAAAACAGTTAAGTTTCAGCCATAGGTTTACGAGATTTCCGCAGAGTGATTTTATTTGCCCGTCTGTAATTCATGTACACAGCTCATGTGAAATGAACTGTTCGTATTTCTCCCTGATTTGAATTAAACCACAGATCATTGCGCCTTTGGGTTGTTGGCAATGCGTCAGCTGCAAAAAAATTGAAAATCTGTAAATGAGGCAGCATTGAGATAGCCGTAAGGATTTCTCTCATATCCCCCTGGTAGTTTGACAAGGCGTCTTCCTTTTCTATTACGAAACTTCAAGATGCTTACACGGGTCTTTCTTATTCGTAAAAATAGTCATAAATCAGGGCAAATTTTCTTTACATTTTCAATTGCTATTATTCCATTATTTATACGATTCTCACAATGTCGGATTACAATTGGAAGAGGCTATTGACACTGCAACAGGAGTAAACAAGCTGGTTTATTGCAATAGGATTTCACGCTAATATTCTCAATCAGACTGAACATTTAACGTGAATATGTCAATTTACGCCGCATCTAATTCTTTATCCGATGATCTTTATGTGAAATCGTTAAATTGCAATGCGGCAAATTACTTTGAAATCGCAAAAAACGGTTCATCATTAGAAATAAATAGTTACTCCAGAACTATTCTATAATTCTTGTCAGTGGAAAGTACCGCGTTTTAGACTGCATGCGATAATCTAAGATATGAACGCAAATGTTGACATGAAAGCAGTCGCCGATGCTTAACTAAAATTTGTCCGTTTAAATTTTTTTGCGAGCAGCGTCTAAAATTGCTGCATTTCGTCTATGGTTTATATTCGGTCCATTTTTAGGAATATCGGAAAGAAAGACTTTTGAAAGTGTGCTATTAGCCTTGCTAACACCTCTAAATAGTTTTCCTATTCATGTCTTAGCTACATTTCATTCATTGGAAGCGTCATCGCTAGCTATTGTACTCAGGGAATGTCTAGATCTCATTTGCCGACGAATTTGGTGGGCCATCTTTAGTCTGCCGAGAAGTTTAAAAATTTGCCCGCTAGGCACTTTGTTGATGGCCAAAAACTCATTTTTAAGGCAGAATTTTCCGATTGGGTTGTCAAACTCACGACCTTGATAGCAACAACAACTGTTTATCCCACACGCAATCACAGATTAACATTCATTTGGATCATTCTTCACCATGACTTTTAAATTACATTTTTCATCATAAATTTGAATCATTGACATTTGTAGAAAAGCATTTAGTATCATTAGATGCAACAGTCCCTCCAACGAGGAAACGTTGCTTTATCATTTCGTTAGGTTCACAAAAGTATTTTTCAAAAGCATGTCCGCAAGTTGGCTTTTAGTGTGCAGATGGAAATATTCCATGAAGAAAAAACG